TGCGGTCTTTGTTGGAGAACGGGACCTGGGAGCTCGGCGAAAAACCGGAAGGGGGTTCCCATGACGTGGATTTACAAAATAAAGCGGGACGCTCTGGGAAATGTGGAGCGGTACAAGTCCCGGTTGTTGCCGAAAGAGTACCTGCAAAAGCAGGGAATCGACTTCGAGGAAGTCTTCGCCCTGGTGAGCAAGCACACCACATTGCGTGCATTATTGGTGGTGGTCGCGGAGCGCGACTTCGAGCTGCACCAGCTAGACGTCAAGACGGCAATCCTCAATGGGGAGCTGAAGGAGGAGATCCACATGCAGCAGCCACAAGGTTACAAGCAAGGCGGGCCAACATGGTCTGCCACCTCAAGCGCACCCTGTACGATTTGCACCAGGCGCCGCGTGCATGGCACGTGCGCCTGAAGGAGGAGCTCGAGATTTTGAGTTTGCCAAAGTAAAGGCGCATTGGGAGAGAAGTTCGATGTGCGCGACTTGGGGGAGGCAAAGTACTCCCTCGGGATGGAGCTGACGCGCGATAGGGAGGCGCGCACCCTTGAAGCCAACGCAAAAAAAGCTGACGGGAGAGCTTGTCGGACGATACGGACTAGCGAGCGCTTGGGCGCGCTCGGTCCCTTCCGGAATGGGGAACAGATTAACCAAAGAGGGTGAACGCCTCGACACAAAGCGGTTTCCCTCCAGTAAGTGCGTGGGGAGCCTGTTGCACATGAGTGTGTGCACTCGGCCCGACATTGCACAAGCATTGGGCGCGCTTGCGCGCCATATGGCGGGGCTGACGGAGGAGCATTGGCGGGCGGCGCTTCGAGTTGTGCGCTACCTAGCGGGTATATCGAATGACGGGGTAACCTTTCGGGGGAGCGGAGAGACTCTGATCGCTTATTGCAACGCGATTACGCGGGTGACGTGGACACGAAGCGGTCCACAACGGGATACGCTTCCGGATATATGGGGGGGCGGTGAGCTGGTCGAGCAGGCTGCAGCCAACGGTGGCGGCCTCGAGGCGGAAAACATGAGAGCAGCGAAAGCGGTGAAGGAGGCGTTGTGGTTCTGCAAGCTTGGGGAAGATCTTGAGTTGGACCTCGGGACGGTCCAGATCTACTGCGACTACCAAGGGGCAATACGGCTCCTCAAGCACCCAATTGCTTCATACCGGTCGAAGCACTTTGACGAAATTCATCACTTTGCATGGGAGCGTGTGGCACGCAAGAAGGTCGCGTTCGCGTATTGCAAAACGGAGGACGTGAAGGCGGACATCATGACCAAGGCGTTGGCACCAGGGAATTTCAAGATGTGCATATAGGTTCAATAATTGCCGTTGATAAAGTGTTAGAATTCCGTGATTATGGTCAGCCGAATTACTATGTGATTAGGGTTCGACCCGTGTAGGGTTTGGACTAGTGAGCGCCGCCGTGCGTGCACGGCGGTTAGACGGTTAATCCGTTAGGCGGTTTGGAGGTTAGGCGGTTGAGAGCGGCCGTCAGTGTAAGCCGTAGATGAGGATATCGAGGGCTAGGATTGAGGGTGACAGTGAGCTAGGCTAGTAAGTCTAGTAGGCTAGTCAGCCTAGTGGGTCGGGAGAGACCCGTGAGACAATAGTGGTGACAAACGCTATTGTGATACATCATTCTAAGAGAAATTTGTGGAGAGAAGGAAGCCGCTTGTGAGGCGCTCCGTGTGTTCCTCTTAAGATGCATGGCTGCCATCAATGAGTGATGAGCATGGGCGCCGGGCAACACGATAAGACCCGAGGACGAGTAACTCAACGACACTACGACTCTCTACCGTGAGTTTCAATATAAACAGTATAGAGTAAAATTTTGGACTTACATAGTGACGCTCCCCTGAGCCTACTACAGTAGGCTAGTAAAGTAGTTTTTGAGATAGGCCATGACTTGAAACACCCTATACAATTCGGTACTTGACTGATTCAATATCTCTTTCAACAACGCTGTGTTTCAACATGTGTAGGCCACAGCGCTGTGGAGGAAGGATCTGCCAAAGGTGCTCATCTATTGCAACGACGTTGGTAAACAAGGGGTCTCTTTCACTTGTAGTTGTTGAGTAGGCAATTCGCGGAGTCCGCAAGACAGGAAGCACGTTCCATCAAGAGCGGTGCAAATCAGCCTATCGTTCTCTCTTGTCAATAAAGGCAACGGAGGCCCGCGATCTGCTATCACGGGTGCTCTTTGAGCCAAGTGACATTTGATAACCCTCTAACGGGGATCAGATGGCAGGGAAAGCCTAAAAGGAAATTTTCCGCCTTTGGTCCCAAGAAAGAGAGAAAGGATAAGCAAACCTTCAATTGGCTAACTGTAACGATTACGACTGGTTAAGCCTAACCTCGTTCTCGACAGGATTTCGTTGACCGCGAGTTAGCGAAACGGCGGTGGTTA